AAAAGCCACTTCTAGCGGGAAAATAGCTAAAATTACAGCACTGCGACTAATATTTGTGTCATATCTGCCCCAATAAAATAATTTATATATTGAAATGTACAAGAGTATATTAGGTTTGCGGGAGCTGAAAAATGTAACAGGCAGAAGGAGGCGTGGCAGACCCCACAAAGTATATATATTCTTGATCAGCATGACGAGACGAGTCGATCTAGCCCTGTCTGTCTGTCTGTCCGTCTGTCAGTCTGTCCGTCTGTCCGTCCGTATGAACACCTGGATCTCAGAGACTATAAGAGATAGAGACACCAAATTTTGCACAAATATGCGTTATGTGTGTATTCTATACGAGTTTGTTTTATTTTTTTGATTTTCCCCCCCACTTCCCCCCTATGGGGGTTTTCCCGATTTTCCATTCGTATAATCGCCTATTTCTCGGAGACTATAAGACCTAGGAACACCAAATTTTAGTCCCAGATGCCTTATGTGAATACGCAGAAAATGTATATTTTGGAATTTCCCTCCCTCCCTCCTCTACCCCACAAATCGTAACTCCCGTAATTCTTGGAATTTCGAACTAAAATTTTGTAAATACCCCCAGTTAGTTATAATGTGTCCGTATGCCAAGTTTCACTATGATAGACCGATTTAACAAGAAGTTATAGCCATAAATATATTTGCTGATGCAGCGCTGCTGCAGCGCTGCTCAAGCGCTGCCCGCGGCTGTTGTTGATGTTGCTGTTTGGTTGACTGCGAAAATGCTTACACAGACACGAATAGATGCGCATAGGCATACATACACTCACACAGACGCAATTGCTATGTAAGTGTGCAATTATACGTGAGTTCGAATACCGAGAGAGGTAAAATCGATCAAATTTTTTTTTTATTTTCTTAATTTTTTTATTTTCTATAATTATTGTAAACATATGTACAGAGTATTTCAAAGTCGGGACACCCGACTTTAGCTTTTTTACTTGTTTAAAATAGAATTTGTTATTGGAAGTCCAAAATGTAGGATTGTATTACATTTTCAACCGGCGCAAATATTAATAATATTATATTATAAAAACTGGCTTCATTCCAGCGGAATGGAGCTGAAATGAAGACTTTTTAGTAACTAAGTTGCCTTGTACATAACACTTTTCTGAATCGGCTACGATACTTAAAAATTTTTCTTTAAAAAGGGCAACACTTTTATACATTGGCGACCATCGATTTTCGTACACCAACGTTGTATTGGGAGCATACCTTCTTCTTAAGCATGATTTTCGATCAAATTGATTATATCTATATATTATTTCTTATGCAAAAAAAAAATGATTTCAAAAAACAAGTTAAGTGGACAAGTAAATCACAATTGACATACCAAGATTGACAGCTGCTGGTTGAGTCATTTCCGAAACTTCAGACTGATCAAGAATATATAGTATGTGTATACCTAAGCGCCTTTTGAACGGGGCGGCTTGAAGCTCGTATTTAAAACGGGCAGAGAAGTTTGGGTTGCCTTTTTGTACTTAACTGCAAATAAATCTAAAACGCGCACATTTCTCAAAGTAAGGGCAGCAACGGCTGTTGATGGATGTGGCAGTACGCACTCACAAACACTCACAAACACACACACACACACGAACACACACACACAAGAAAGTCTAACTGACCAAACGAATGGATGGCGCTGCTGCAGGATGCGGGCCACATTATTTGGCCATCGCTTCGCAGTTTCAATTTTGCATTTACATACCCACATGCTTTATATATGTGTGCATATATAAATGTATGAGTGTGCGTATGTATGTATGTATGTGTGCAAGCTTTGGTCCCTTTTGTTTTAGTTCTTTTTTTATATTCTGTTTGCCGCTTTGTTTTAAAGTCCTTGCGCACACAAAACAAAAAATAAAGTATGCAAAAAGCAGGATAAAATAAAAAATAAAACGATGGCAGGCAAGCAACACAAAAGGATGCTACAATAATATCCTTAAGCTACAAATGCAACATGAATTTGTCTTTGTATCCCAATGCTGTAGCAAAGCGTAACCGAGCTCCGGAACACACACACGCTCACATCCACAGCCCAGCAGACAGACACACCCAACTATTTTGTATTGCTGATGTTTCTTCCAGCTTCAAGCTAAAACAAAAAAAGAAAGAAAGTAAGGGATAAAGGATACTCGAACTTTACAAATGCATGAGCATTAGAACGCAGACCCGTACGACTCGTACAAACGTATATACATATAAGCATTCATTTGTGTATGTGTGCGAGCACAGCAATCTTGTGCGTCTCATGTGAACATTCCCAACTTGACTTGGTGTCCTTTTTTCCTTCCTCATTTTGCCGCTTTTGCTTCGACACTTATTTTAATTTATTTCATTTTCATTTAAGTCCTTTTTGCGAGTATAAAAGTGTGTGTGTGTGTGTGTGTGTGTGTATGTCTGCGAGTGTATGTGCCAGCATGTAATTAAATAATGTAGCAATTTTCAACAGAACTAAAGGTCATAAGTACTATACTACTTGTATATAGTATACTCGTACAAAAGCTGACTTTTTGTAAAGCTTTTATATTCATTATAAACATAAAAAAATGAAGATAAAGTATAACTATGCATAACAGACCAAGGACATCATTTAAGATAGATGAACTCCTATATTACGTTTCAAAAGTCTGTGGATAAAGAACCTTCAGAACTTCTTAGTTCAACGTAAGAACTGGTACTCTGGGTTGTGTTTATATCTCAGCAGAGTGCTTTGCCTCTAATTGTATTTGTTACACAGTTAATTGACTTACATTTACATATATAAGTATATGTAACGCCTTTCATTAAAGAAATTTAGCAAAGGATGCCATTTCGAATTGATAAAGTATACATTTCAACTTTGTTCGTTCCTGAGATTTTATTAAAAGTATTCCAGAAAGAACACTTTTTTTCTCACCCAAGCCAAAACCTACGAAGCCAAATTGTTTAGCTGAAATTATAAATCCAGAACTGGTGTTTGTGTTTTGAGAAGCTCTTTTCAAGTGTATTTTGGTTTCGTATGTAGGGTTTGATCCGAAAAATCATATAGAAAATGTTATCCAATCATCTCTCTGACTATTAGTTTCATTGGAGGGGCCTGTCTCGTTTAAAAAACGGCCAAGCTGTTGTGTTATGGCCAAATCTGCAAGCCGATTATTTAAATAAAAATAAAATAATAAAAATAGATAAATAAAAAGCTCATTGGAGCTCATTCTAAAGTAAAACACAACAAGAAAGGAATGCCACAGTCACGCGGGCTCAATTAAAAAAATAATTAAAATTATTTTTAAGAAATATTTAATTAATAAAATAGATCAAAAATTATTCAATACATTCAAACAAAAGTGGAGACATATGTTTATCACGATAAAACATACAGACACATAATAATCTGAAGGTAGTATTTGTCCAATTTGAGTTAAAAAGTCTAATTACAGGAGTTATGGAAAATCGCTAATAGCGGGGGACTGGGATGGAGTATCAGAAAAAAACAACAAACTTGATCTGCTTAAGGCTTAGGGAAAGCTACATATCCATTTGGTTATTCTAGCTATTGTACTTGCTGAGATCCTTACGATCATACATACAGACAGACGGACGGATGTACGGACAGATGTAACATACAGGGTATAAAAAACTTAAAGCAACACAGCTGCAATACATAACATAAATGTATTTTGGGAGAGTTTAAAATAAATAACCTAAATAAGCTAATTAGAATACTCTCCATCTTCTTTGAAATTAAAAACATTTTATCGTATGCAGCGTTATGCTTGAAATAAATGAATCTAAAAGTTAACCCTTTAAATTATCTGCGCATATAGTTATTTCTCAAAAATGCAACCATCGAATGATTATATGAATTTTCGAAACAAAAACACGATTCACAGTTTTTAAGGCAACTTCAATCATTATACTCTGTACATGAAATGTACAAGAGTATATTAGGTTTGCGGGAGCTGAAAAATGTAACAGGCAGAAGGAGGCGTGGCAGACCCCACAAAGTATATATATTCTTGATCAGCATGACGAGACGAGTCGATCTAGCCCTGTCTGTCTGTCTGTCCGTCTGTCCGTCTGTCCGTCTGTCCGTCTGTCCGTCCGTATGAACACCTGGATCTCAGAGACTATAAGAGATAGAGACACCAAATTTTGCACGAAGATGCGTTATGTGTGTATTCTATACGAGTTTGTTTTATTTTTTTGATTTTCCCCCCCACTTCCCCCCTATGGGGGTTTTCCCGATTTTCCATTCGTATAATCGCCTATATCTCGGAGACTATAAGACCTAGGAACACCAAATTTTAGTCCCAGATGCCTTATGTGAATACGCAGAAAATGTATATTTTGGAATTCCCCTCCCTCCCCCCTCTACCCCGCAAATCGTAACTCCCGTAATTCTTGGAATTTCGAACTAAAATTTTGGAAATACCCCCAGTTAGTTATTATGTGTCCGTATGCCAAATTTCATTATGATAGACCGATTTAACAAGAAGTTATAGCCATAAATATATTTGCTGATGCAGCGCTGCTGCAGCGCTGCTCAAGCGCTGCCCGCGGCTGTTGTTGATGTTGCTGTTTGGTTGACTGCGAAAATGCTTACACAGACACGAATAGATGCGCATAGGCATACATACACTCACACAGACGCAATTGCTATGTAAATGTGCAATTATACACCCTTTACGTGAGTTCGAATACCGAGAGAGGTAAAATCGATCAAATTTTTTTTTTTATTTTCTTAATTTTTTTTATTTTCTATAATTATTGTAAACATATGTACAGAGTATTTCAAAGTCGGGACACCCGACTTTAGCTTTTTTACTTGTTTTGTAATACATACGAGCAATTCTAAAAACAAAATAATTTAAAAATAAATAAACCCTTTCATAGAATTGTATATCTAGGAAACAACACTCGTAACCTTCTCCCTTGTTTTTATGGAGTTAACTGAAAATTCTAGAGCTACAGTACTATAAAAACAAAAGGTCCAAAGTACTAGTTAGCAAAGAAACATTTAGTTTCAGTTTGCTTTGTTTTTTGTGTCGATGTGTTGACAAGTTTTTCCATTTAAATATTTCATCCAAATTTTGTGCAAAGAAAGGGGGGCGCGATAAGCGCTGCCAGCAGTCCAATCCAAAAACTTAAATCAGACCAAGTCAAGAGTAATGATCTGTGGACACTTTTTGAAACCTTAAACGGTAAGTAGGCTATGAGGGCCAGTTTCAAGGGAATCCTATATATCATTTCTTACTTCTATTCCTTCACAGGAGACACCAAAAACAAGTCAATGCATTGCTGAAAACTATTTTCTACAGAATTATCGACTACTCTACATTTTTTTTGCAATAAAAGGACTAGTTTGAGGTTCATCATGTCGGACCCTGTTGCACCATCCTGGGCCTCAGTTGTAATACATGGCATGCCGCAGCATGGTTCGGAACAAAGATCCACACCATCAGGAGACAGTGGAACAACGCCTTCGGCACATGCCTTTACGACAGAGAAGCAGCCAGGTAGTCAACCACTCGGTTCGAATATGGCACAGAAGTTCCATTCATGCAGACGGACACAGATAAAATCCACACCACAAAATAGCTCGCCACCACTGCCCCCTCATAATGTCAATCCGTTTGTTTATGAGTTTCAGCCGCATCCATTCGTAGTCGGACCAATGCCCAGCGACGTTTCCTTGATGCAAGGAGCCAATTTCATGCAGTTTTATCCCCATCCACAGTCCCAATTCCAGCAGGCACCGATCCCACCAAGCAATGCTATACCGCTTCCGCCACCACCCGGATTTGAGAGCCAGCTCATGCAACTTTGGACACGACCGGCCAGGCGGCGCTCCCGCCATTTCGTGGAGATACCTCGAAAGGTGCGCGCGGACGGCTCGAGCCCTGCGACAGCAATCCAAACAGATACCGATCCAGAGGAATATCTGCACAATGTGGGGCGATCCGAATCGGTGCGTGAGCTCCAGTTCCTGGGACCACCGATGGAGCCGCTGCCTGAAGAGTTGCCGCAGTTCCCATTATCACAAGATCCGACGGGGGTAGGTTGATCCTTTATACCATATAGACAATATGTATATTATATACCTAAGTCAATCAAACAGTCTCAGGCAGTCTCACAAACTAGTCCTTTCACATTCGTTGAGCATTTTGATTGAATCGCAGACGATAGCTTTCCATTTCGAAATGTAACGTGTTCTTATGTGAAACTAATAATCAGTTACTATTATCATTATAATTGTTATTATAAAAGTTACAAAATAATGATATTTTTTATTTCAATATCTCACAATAATAATTTTAAAGCAAAAAAATGATTTTCTTTAAAAATTAGTAGTTCATTTTGATATAAATCCAGTTATTTAATTTTACAAAAACTTACCTTCGATTTAAAAAAAAAATACTGAAAAATTGAGCTAAAAACACATCCTTAAACAAAATATTTTCATTAAGAAAAATTATTTAATTTTTAAATAAATCCATTAGTTATTTAATTTTACAAAAAGTAACCGATTAATCGATTTAATGAAAAACAAGAAAGGAATGCTTAAGTCGAGCAGGCTCAACTCTTAAATATCCTGTACCACCCCACCAAAAAAAATTGTATTAAAAAAATTTAATTAATTAATTAAATTAAATATAAAATATTCCATACTTGTACATATGTATGTGTGCATTACACATTACATGATTATGTCAGAGCAGCAACAAATACAGCTGCGGATACAGCTTGGTCCTGGTTATATGGCTATAACTTTCTTTCTAATCAACCTATCATAATAAAACTTGAGATACGGATATATAATCACTAACTGGATGTAACTACCAAATTTTGAAAATTCCAAGAATTACGGGAGTTATAGAAATCACGAAGTGGGGGGGAGGGGGGGGGGGGGGGGTGCATCAGAAAAAATGAACAAACTCATTCTTTCTCGGGCTCAGGAGAATCTGGATACCAAGTTTGGTTATTCTAGCTCTTATACTTTCGGAGATCCTTGCGTTCATACAGACAGACAGACAGACGGACAGACGGTCAGACGGACAGACGGACATGGCTATATCGACTCGGCTTGTCATGCTGATCAAGAATATATATACTTTGTGGGGTCTACCAAGCCTCCATCTGTGTGTTCCATGTACACTCGCACAAAACTAATATACCCTTTTCCCCTTGGGGTACAGGGTATAAAAACCAAATAATCATTTTTGTGATCTCTCCCAATAATGAAATTTGGAATCATCTGTAGAAACGCTAGTTTCGTTCGAATACTTTTGTTAATATTTTTAATGGCTGTCCCTAAGCGACTCTTATATCAGCCGGTTTTCGCCGTTTTTATACTCTGTACATGAGATGTACAAAAGTATATTAGGTTTGCGGGAGCTGAAAAATGTAACAGGCAGAAGGAGGCGTGGCAGACCCCACAAAGTATATATATTCTTGATCAGCGTGACAAGATGAGTCGATCTAGCCCTGTCTGTCCGTCTGTCCGTCCGTATGAACACCTGGATCTCAGAGACTACTTGTATAAGAGATAGAGACACCAAATTTTGCACAAAGATGCCTTATGTGTGTATTCTATACGAGTTTGTTTTATTTTTTTGACCCCCCCCCCCACTTCCCCCCTATGGGGGTTTTCCCGATTTTCCATCCGTATAATCGTCTATATCTCGGAGACTATAAGACCTAGAAACACCAAATTTTAGTCCCAGATGCCTTATGTGAATTCCTCTCCTTCGCAAATCGCGATTTTCTTTAACTCCCGTAATTCTTGGAATTTCGAACTAAAATTTTTTAAATACCCCCAGTTAGTTATTATGTGTAACAAGAAGTTATAGCCATAAACATATTTGCTGCTGCAGCGCTGCTCAAGCGCTGCCCGCGGCTGTTGTTGATGTTGCTGTTTGGTTGACTGCTGACATGTTTACACAGACACGAATATACGAACATACAAGTATACATACATACACTCACACAGACGCAATTGCTATGTAAATGTGCAATTATACACCCTTTACGTGAGTTCGAATACCGAGAAAGGTAAAATCGATCAAATTTTTTTTGTTTAATTTTCTTAATTTTTTTATTTTCTATAATTATTGTAAACATATGTACAGAGTATTTCAAAGTCGGGACACCCGACTTTAGCTTTTTTACTTGTTTTTCTTTGTTCTTCATAAAATATTTCCCATATCTGTGCTTTTCCAGAAGCAGCAACATATCCTGCCTGGTGCACCGCATGGTCAGCACAAGGAGCAGCAATTTGCAGTTGTGAGAACCATGGTGCCAATCTACTATCGCGTGGCCGTGCCCGTGCCTATGACTATGCAACAGGTGCATCAACACCACCACCACCAACAACAACAACAACAGCACCTACATCAGTTGTCGCAGCAGCAGCAACAGTTTTCAGCGCAGTTCGCCAACAACGAACAGCAACTGTTGCATCAGCTGGAGCAACAGAAGCTGCAGCAGCAACACCTCCAGCAACCAGTGCCCCCACCATTGCACAATACACAGCAATACCTATACGAAGAAGAAGAGCAGGCTCAACGCCAGGGTTTCGAGACGGCGACGCTTAACATAGAGCCTAGTACGCAGGCTTTGCCCCTCGCGGGCAACTCTTTCACTCGCTTCTCTCACAGTTGATTATTTGCAGGTTCGCCAATGGTGGACCAACAGGAGTCCGTCATGAATTCACATTCACAACAACAGATGTATCTGGAGCAGCCGGTGCCACCACATCCAAGGACAAACACAATGCCATCGCAGCAGCAACAAGAAGATTACCTAGAATTTCCCCCCAATAACCGGATGGTCATCAATAGGGTATCCATGGATTCGCGATTCGCTCGGGTCTCACCTCGCGCCGGTGCTCCTTCTGGTCGGGTGTTTTCAAGCGCACGCACCGAAAATAGTAACTTGCCAGCCCTGTTCGATGGGTTGCCGCCTCAGCTTCGGAACGAGGATGGAACATCGCACGAAGCCGTGGAATGGGTACCATTAGCCAATACCCGTCAAGTGTGGGACCCGCTGGGCACATCTAATCGTCGAGGCTGGGATCCGACGCATCCACTGCGTAAGTATCATGCGAGCTACAAGTAGATAATATTTAATGAATTCTTATAGCCAAAAATAAGCTGTCGCCATAGCGGAATCAGTACAACCTCATAGTATAATAAAGACTTAAAACGCTTCCGACTTGATGAGGTAATTTTATTTGGCGAGAGACGCTCATATTATAAGCAGTTAACAGAAAGAATTTATATAGATTCAGTTCTATTACAAGCCTCATTATTGTGTATACTATATGTATATGATGTGATGGTGTATATTATGTGATGGGCTTCAAGGCTGAATAGGCAACCTTTTCTGTGACGCAACCAATTGCACGGTAACAGACGCACATAACAGCAAACTGTGAATGTACACAAAAATCAGCTGTGCTATGAAAATGCGTGCATGAACCTAACGGTACAATCTAAAATTTAAAAATCTTGCTGTTCTGGTATTGTTCACATTTCACAACACATGCCTGCACGATTCTAGTGGTAAAATAAACAGCTGTTTTGACTTCTGCTTATTTATGCCCACCTCGTAGGTAGGCATGGGCGTAGCCAGGATTTAGTCCGGGGGGGGCAAGATTTTTTGGCCGATTTTTTACTATCAAATTATTTCCACTATACAAAAAACACATGAAAAATATGGAAAAATAGGGGAAAAAATTCAAAATAATGAAACTAATGAACTGAACTGTTATACCAAAACTATTTTTAAGAGACAATAATGCACAACGTTTAAAAATTAGTCGCATTAATATATATTGCCCCAGGTTTCAATAAAATCAGCGAACTGTTGGCCGGAAAAACAACTTATTTGCCCCGTTTGTCCCGTTGCCCATAATAAAACTTAGCACTAAATATAGGGCTAGTAAAGAGTTATAAGTTGAGCATATTAACACAATATTTTATATATATATTTATAATATATTCTCAACATTATATCTTCATAGCAATCTAGCTGATAAATTAACCGTAGCCATAAAATGGATGTCTTTTTTCGTGATTTTTGTACAATGTGGCACAAATTCAAATTTGTCTGCAAAATTTTTGATCCGTTCAGAATCTAGGGGGGGCAGCTGCCCGCTTTGCACCCCCCTCGCTACGGCCATGTAGGTAGGTCTTGATTTTTAAGAGACGTCGTTTCTTGTGATTTTCTGGGGATTCCAGGAACATTTTTAATGGAAGTAGAAAGCTGGATCGAAAACTATCGGTGACGGTGATCTTTTTTTGCGTTTTTTGTAGCGGTGTTTCTAGCCAATTTCTAGCGATTTATTTATACATTTTTAGTGGACTTTTAGTCATTTTTTAACGGTTCTTAGCCTTTAGCGGATATTCTACATATTTTTAGCGCTTTTGTAGCATTTTCTATCCATTTTCTAGCTACTTATAGTTGTGTTACTAGCTATTGTACTCACGTTTTCTAGCGGGGTTTCTAGACATTTTCTAGATATTAATAGCAGTGTTTTATCCATTTTCTAGCATATTCTACCCAATTTCTAGCTAGGCTTCTAACCATTTACAGTGAGTTTGCTAGCCTGTTTTAATTGACTTTCTTGCTTTTTTATCAGATTTTCTAGCGAGGTTTCTAGTAAATTTTAAAGGATTTTCTAGCCATTTGCTACCTACTTATAGTTGTGTTTCTGGCAATTCTTTTCAAGCCCAAGGAACATTGTTGTTAAGTAATTATAAATGTTCCCCTTAGCAATCTAAAAAACTAGCTCTAATTAAATGAAGTATTTCAATATAACCATTAAGAGAAAGTTTCATTCCTATCGCTTGTCGCCCTGACACACAAATTGTTGTTTGTTTGAAGATTCATTCACCACTGAGAACGTTCGGAATATAAAAAAACATTTGTTTTAAAATATATATAATTTAAAACCGGTATACATATATGTTTATGTTCCAGCTCCACCACCGCCAGGTTTTGAGCATGTCGAGCACGATATAGACCGCTATGAAAGCGGAGGACGACCAGACTATGTGGCCACCGAAGGCAAGCGATCTCTGTCAACGCGAGCACGGAAGCTGATGGGTGAGAATGTGAAGGTTGGGCCCCACACCGACTACCCTACACCCGCGCCCATATCGGGGCCCGAAATGATGCTACGTGAGCAGCAGCACTTCATAGGTAGTCCTCAATGCTAGGTTTTTTCTGCTTTCAATTATAATTAGCTCGGGTTATATATGTAGCTAGTTGTGACACCCACTTGACCTGCCATCTGGCCCAGTTGTCGGTGACAAATGGCACCACCGGCGACGGATATTTCGTAATTCCCATTGGACGGCCCGAGGTGCCGAAGTTGGGTGCAGCCGTTGTGCAACAGCCGCACAAGTCTATCTTCGATCCTGGTGTGACTTATTGGGATCTATTGGGACGCAACAAAGTAAATGAGGACGAGATTGAGTCGAAATCATAGCAGACCGAGGAGCCATGGGAGCCTCGGATAGAAGAGCACAGCAATGAATCAGCAAAAGGACAAGTGAATAGTTCAATATTAGAGCCGTCGGAAAGTGTGGATCCAAGATCTACGACCGCCACTGACCCCATCCCATCGTGGAGAGCGAGAAAGTAGAATGAAATTACTGTGAGGGACTGAAAGAACAAGCTAACTTTGAAACCATTTCTTATATGTAGAAAATTTGCAGTAGCATCGCTTCTTTAAATAAATCAAATGCTCGAAAATATTCTAAAGTGCACGTGTTCGAATGTGGAAATCCCAATTTCAAGGATGTAACTGTGACAGAGCTATGCAATATCCATCGAATTGGATGAAATATGAGTATATTTTCTAGATATTATAAGATAATACATTAATACATTTCAAAATGCAATAAAATGTTAATCAATTAATGGGCGCTATTCTAGTACTAATCATATGCGCATTTAATGACTGACTTCGAAATTCAAACTCCAAAGGAAATGCAAGTTTGTATGAGAAGATTATATTATGGTTCCATCAATTGCAAAAGAGCTTTGTTAGCTCTATGTATGTTCATATGTATGTACTTGTAGATATATCTGAATACAAGATCTTTTTCGTCACTTTGCTTTGATAACAACGCTGCTCAGAAGAATTTTGAAAGTTCAGTGTGTACATAAGACAATTTAGTGTTAAGCTCAATCTACAAGAAGAGAGAACGCCGCAGTCCAGCAAGCTCGACAGTGAAATACCCTGTACCCAGGCAAACTTCCGGCACTAAATTATATGCGGCCATAGCAGAAGTGAGAAGAAAAGGAAGAGCGAACTTGATGATGTAACTGACGTAATACTGGACGTAATACTAATAACTTTTCTTAGAGTTGGCCAATTTGGATGGAATTTGGGACAAAAGTAGATAATTGTATATAAATATCTTCGCCATGTTTGGTTTATGTAGCTTTTGAAATGTTGGCAGTATTGACGAAACCCTGATGCGGGGAGAGGGAGGAGCGACTAGGAGCGTTCGTCCCCATACCAAGTTTGGTTCATGTGCGCTGAATCGTTTCCGAAACCCAAGCGTTCATCAGACAGGCGGACAGACAGACGGACGGACGTGCTAAATCGATTCGTTTCGTCATGCTGAAAATAATATACAAGGTGTTTTCCAAAGTAAACAGGACTTTAAAAAAAAAACAGAACAAATGGTTTTTTCGGCAAAATCAATTTATTTTATTCAAAATAGTCTCCTTCTGCTTCAATACAGCTTTTTGCACGATCCAAAAGCATGTCGAACGAGTGTTTTAGCTCGTTGGCCGGTATGGCCGCCAGTATGCCGGTGTAAGCCTTTTGAATGGCCTCTACGTCTGCATAACGCTTTCCTTTCGTGGGCAAACACATTTTTCCGAAAAGGTAGCAGTCGCACGGTGCCATATCAGGTGAATACGGCGAGTGGTTAATGGTTAAAATGCGATTTTTGGTCAAATAATCGGTCACAATCGGTTGGATTCTGAGCAATTTTTGGTCATCAGTCAATTTGTGCGGAACAAACCGTGCACACACCTTTCGTAAGCCCAAATGTTCGGTCAAAATGCGATAAATCGATGTTTTGGAGATGTTTAATTCCATTTCCATCAATTTCAATGATGATTTCGGCTGATTTTTGATAAAATCCCGCACAGTTTCGATGGAATTTTCGGTGATCACGAATTTTGATTGGGCCACATGTTGATCGGGGATTTTCCGTTCGTATAATCACCTATATCTCGGAGACTATAAGACCTAGGGTAACCAAATTTTACTCCAAGATGCACTATGTGTATACGCAGAATATGTGTATTTTGGAAATTCACTCAAACTTGTCTGAAAATAAGTACTATTATAAAACAAGAGAGAATGCTACAGTCGAGCAAGCGACAGTGTAATACCCTGTACCCAGGTAAACTTCCGTCACTGAGTTATATGCGCCCATAGCAGCAGCAAAAAGAGGAAGAAGAAGAGCAAACTTGTTGCTGCAGTTTGAGGGGGTTGTACTGGCGAGAATTTGTGCCGTTAATAACTTTTCTTAGAATTGACCGAATTGGATGCAATTTCAAATAACAACAGATAATTATATATAAATGATGTGTGCACGGTTTGGTTTAGGTAGCATTTGAAATGTGGACGCTATTGACGAAATTCTGTAGCGGGGGAAGGGGGGGGAAATTAAAAAAAAAAAATAAACTCGTCCTTTCTCGGACCTAGGAGAATCTGGATGCCAACTTTGGTTATTCTAGATTTTATAGTTTCTGAGATCCTTGCGTTCATCCAGACGGACAGACGGACATGTCTAGATCGATTTCTCTCGTCATGCTGATTCAGAATATATATACTTTATGGGGTCGGAGATGCTTCCTTCTTCATGTTACATACTTTGCACAAACCTAATATACCCTTTTTACCCTACGGGTACAGGGTATAATTATATTAACAAGAGAGAACGCTACAGTCGAGCAAGCCCGACAGTGTAATACCCTGTACCCATGTAAACTTCCGTCACTGAGTTATATGCGCCCATAGCAGCAGCAAAAAGAGGAAGAAGAAGAGCCAACTTGTTGCTGCAGTTTGGTGGGGTTGTACTGGCGAGAATTTATTTGCTAATAACCTTTCATAGAATTGACCGAATTGAATTAATAAATGAATAAAATTTTATACAACAGTAGACAATTATATATAAATTATGTGTGCAAAGTTTGGTTTAGGTAGCATTTGAAATGTGGACGTTATTGACGAAATTCTGTAGCGGGGGAAGGGGGGGAAAATTCAAAAAAAAAAATAATAAACTCGTCCTTACTCGGACCTAGGAGAATCTGGATGCCAACTTTGGTTATTCTAGCTTTTATAGTTTCTGAGATCCTCGCGTTCATCCAGACGGACGGACAGACGGACGGACAGACGGACGGACATGTCTAGATCGATTTCTCTCGTCATGCTGATCAAGAATATATATACTTTATGGGGTCGGAGATGCTTCCTTCTGTATGTTACATACTTTGCACAAACCTAATATACCCTTTTTACCCTACGGGTACAGGGTATAAAAATACTTGGCCCAGCAAAGTATGGGCTGCGCTCCACGCATTTGTATCTCGAAATTGTCACAAAGACCGTCTATCCTCAGGGAACCTGACACTAGCACAAGCACTAGGCTGTTGGCCAATTTTTTAAACAGGTCCACGAAATAAAGGAGTTTTTGAAAATCACTGGAGTGCTTTTAAACTGTGTTGGAAATTATATCAGATTGCTTTGTCGGTTACTGTTTATGATATTTTCAATCACTTGTGCGTTGCCTTTTCGAGCCTACTGCTGTCAAAATCGTTTTTCATTTCTGTTCTTTACGACGACGAAACAAAATTGGCACATAAAATAATATATAAATATTAAATTATATTTTTTTCTGTTTGTTCTATTCATAGCACAATGTCGCAAAGTGAGGAAGATTTGTATCTAGGGCTCGATATGAGTGCATCTACCAGTAGCGGAGCATTTAGCGGCAGCAACTCCTGGATGCTACGATGCGATCCGGGAAGCTTTCAGAGGCAGATGTATGAACAGGTAACTGCGACCTCGCCCCTCTCGCCGGTAGCAGCCTTTAATAAATGGCAATCGCATGAAGCTAGAATGGAACGAAAGCAGGCAAGTTGTCATATAATACATACATACATACTTGTATGTATGTATGTATGTTCTAAAACAAAATGTTTATTTCATAATTCTGTGATGTGAAAAATTTGTATATTCATGTGTGGATAAATTTATTTAAAATTTAGTTTCTGTTTAGCGGTTTTGCGTAAAGTTTAGATAGAAAAAAACAAATTGTTAATCCAGGCAATAGTTTTTCTTTATATATTTATTCTTCTAACTATGCACTTCACAGGAGGCCATGGATGATCTTGAGTGGGAACGCTTCCCCGTTAACGAGTTGGCAGATTTAGAGTTCAAGGAGCCGCCGCCAGTGCGTGCACCGCCATCATCGCCACGCCGCATAAACGGCGATGATCCCGAAAATGAAATTTCCAATACACTCTGGAATGACATGCTCATTGCAGAGCAGCTGTGTAAGCTGGCAAATGGGATTAAAAAGAAAAGCGGCGAGACGCGCTTGCGCAAGGAACGTTCAGATATGAGGGGTCAGGATGGTGCCGATGGTGAGTGAAGTGTATATTCATTCCTATCGAATTTTCATGGCAGTTACGCAGGTCAAATGTCTGATTGCGAAGATGGATCTATAGAACAATGTGCAGAGCACACCGCTACGGAGCTAACCTACATCGATGAAAAGTCAGAAAACAATTGAACAATTAAAAGCACATAAAAGCGCAGTTGAGCATGTCTTCTTTTAAGTGCGCTGCTTATCTATTAATATGGAAAACTACACACGATATAAATCTCAAGTTAAACCCTTAAACACATAATTATCCGATATATTTACACATAAATAAATTAAATAACGAAATTAAAATTGCGCTACGTGTTATCTCATTCAAATGCGAATTCAAAAAGTAGGCCTCACTGCTGCCAACTCTAACGTATTGTATTTATCGATAGCCGCACTTCCAGTGCTATCGAGCTGTTATGAGCATTTATATGTGTTAAGAGCTAACTTGTTTTCAAATAACATCGCTAAATTTATTTACTGAATAAAGAATTATGAATGTAGAACATATTTTCAGTGTGTTTGATAAAATGTTTCAAAATTTAACGTAAATTGTTTTCAAGCGATACATGCTTGCTAGCGATGTGGTGACATCGAAATTGCTTATCGATGTCAACACATCCTTAGACCGTTGCCTTTTCCCATCGCTACTAAAAGCCAAGTCCAAGAGAAATGCGAAATTGGTGGAAAATTTATAGCATCGGCGGGTCAAACCAATAAAGTGCGTTATATATTTTAAGCCTCAAATGTTCCAGAGCAGGCCGCAAGGTGAATTAAGTGCGCACGTTCGTCCGTTGCGCCTCAATAGGATATGCGTGCAGAATTGCCATTTTTGCTGGTCGATATAAACTTGCCATTGGCTGTCTATTAAAGAATTTTAAAACGTGCAGAAACCAATTTGGACCTACATAGTAACAACAACTACGGAGGCGAGAACAATGTCAATGTCGGCGCAATAAGGCAGAACTAACAATATCGACGACATAAATACGCAGTAGTGCCAAGTATATTGTGCGTATCGTTGGTGTTGGATCGTCGGCGGGGGTGGCGGCAGGCAGACAACAGCTGGTACCGTGGAATTGATAACAAATAAAATTACTTGGAACAGGCAACAACAGTCAACAAAGTGGCAAAAGCAGCCCAAAATGGCTGCAACAATTGCCGGCGCAACGCCCGCGGTTGACTTTCAGGACATACGGCTGGAGGAGGTGAGACATTCAAGTATGCATTATTTGCATTATTCAAGCAATTCATTCACGTATAGAAAGTCGGTCATGGGTCCTATGGCGTGGTCTACAAGGCCACTTGGCGCAATCAGCTGGTGGCTGTCAAAGAGTTTGGTGCCAGCGCCGAACAGAAGGCCATCGAAACGGAAGTCAAGCAATTGTCGCGCGTTAAGCATGTCAATATAATCGCATTGTATGGGCTATCTTCGTATCAGCAGTCAACTTACCTAATTATGGAATATGCAGAGGGCGGGTCACTCCACAATTTTTTGCATGGCAAAGTGCAGCCAGCATATTCGCTTGCACATGCAATGAGCTGGGCGCTTCAATGCGCGGAGGTAAATCACCAATGTTGACTCTCGTCCCCTATTACCCAAACTAATTTTGAAAGCACAACTTTTTAAGGGTGTTGCCTATCTGCATGCCATGTCGCCTAAGCCGCTGATACATCGAGACCTGAAGCCACTTAACTTACTGCTGACGAACAAGGGTCGCCATCTGAAAATATGTGATTTCGGTACCGTAGCCGACAAGTCCAGCCTGATGACGAACAATCGTGGCAGCGCCGCTTGGATGGCACCCGAGGTTTGATTACACCTGAAAGATCAACAATCCTTGTGACTTAAATGTCTAACTCTTGCTCTTATAGGTTTTTGAGGGCTCAAAATATACGGAGAAGTGTGATATTTTCAGTTGGGCCATTGTGCTGTGGGAGGTGCTGTCACGCAAGCAGCCCTTCAAAGAAATTGACAACACATACTCCATTATGTGGAAAATACACAAGGGTAAGCCAACAGATAAAGTTTTAGATCTATTTTCAGAGTTCATAGAACTATTTTTCGAAGCACAGTAAATAATTCACAAAGTATGCCCAAATTATGACCTTGAATGCAGTTCTAGAATTATCGTTCCTATGTTCTATGGCCATAAAGTAAAACTTTTCTAAACTACTGCATTTCCATGAAATATCTTATAAATAAACGAGCTTAAAAGTACCTTACATCAAACACATTATCCTCCATGATCATGAGTCACAAGCTAGCTTACAGTATCTGCACTATCTAATTTTTATATATAAATAGTTCTGCATTAAGTACTTTTGACGACCACATAACCATGTTGAGTTTAATATTTTAATGAGCAAACATGCTTTTCATTAACACCGTTCTATGGCAGCTATAAGATGTAGTGACCGGTGTGCGTCAAAAAATAGTCGGTGTGATGGTCATTGAAAGTTGACTTTTCATTGAAGTGTAGACAAATATTTTTATACTCAGACCGTTCTTAAAACGTAGAATTTTTAAAGAACGAGACTTTTGCTACGATATTGCTGTACATAGTAATGGGCGCCTTTAAAGCTTGTTGTATTTAGTCTTGGTCTTTGAATAGATGTATTTATGTCATAAAGTGTCTATGCAGTTATTGTACTGTACTGTACTGTTGTACTGTGGAATGAATATTAGGCGCGCCTATAGCGAGCTGTTGTTTTTATCGCTAAACTCTTACCTTTACATTCATTCATGGCTTCATATATTCTTCGTGGAATGCTTAATATGATTCAATAATAGACATATTGGTAATCTGGTGGAAATACCAGGCATTACAAATATAAATGAAATATTATATTCTTAGAAAATGTCACATTCATGGCATCTATACTGCGAATATTGTCATGTCGATAAAAAGGATAACTGTCATTTGTATAACTATCACAGTAACGTCTTAATCGATTTCAGGGGAACGTCCGCCTTTGTTGCACAACTGCCCCAAGCGGATTGAAGATCTAATGACAGCCTGTTGGAAAACGACGCCCGAGGAGCGGCCGTCCATGACATATGTGGTCAAAGTAATGAACGAGATTATCAAAGACTACTCGGGCGCCGATAAACCGCTAGAATACACATTTATTAACCAGCAGGTGCGTTTATATTACAACTTACAAGTGTACATAGTCTCCTCACATAATCCTATCAATTTTTTAGATCGTGACCAAAGATGGCGATGGCACAATGAACGAGAGTGCACACTACGATGTTTTGGATACGAACAATTTGAGTCCTAATGCCACTGACTCGAGTGTAACTTCCACACAGCTGACGCCAACAAATCCGCGAAGAACAACAACAACAAACACTGAAGCAACCACAACAAGTTCAACCTCAACCACAAATACCTCAAATACATCAACGCCCACAAATGCGGGCAACATTGACAATAATGCGGTCTTCCAGACAACGCCAAAACCAACAACTACTTCGCAAGTGCCACAATTGACAATAGTTACCAGCACTACCTGGGATGCCATACCCGAGGAGGACAGTGTGTGCGAAACTCGAAACGATAGCTTCAATCTATCATCATCAAAGGAAGCAACGAAACGTTTGGAGTCCATACGAAATAGTATGATGCAGAGTGCACGCACACCCATGTCCGAGCTGACATTGGTTGTAGAACCGGTAAGTGCGCGAGTATACCAAGAGACACTCGAAAATGTTGGTTAGACATTAAAAAGCGGCATTTCAGTTTTTAAAGCATAGATATTGACAATTTGTGAGTTTTCTGCTTAATTCATTAAACGTTCTTCGAATGGATATGACTGTTCCGTACATATTTTCATATTTACCTTTTCACCTATTACAACTCGTTTTCAAAAAGATAGCCTGATAAAAAAAAATAATAATCTCAAATTGCTGCCACAATGTTTATTTAACTCTATTTGGCTTTTCCACCAGATATGTGTTAAGATTGCCCGAATCAAAAGAATAATGAATGAGAGAATAAATCGAAACTAAATTACTTAAAAATATGAACGCAAACCCTGCCAACATCTAGGGAGACCGCATAATTATGTTTTGACTAACTTTTAATTTGTTTACAGAATGACTTCGACCAGGGTCGCAATGACAGCTGCATGGGTAAGTTTTTATTAACGGTGTTCGCATACGAAATAGGAATAACATGCTAGAAGCGAACAGGTGCTTATTATCTTTAAAAAAAAAATACATTTATTTGTCTGCCTTTTTTCTTGCGGATAACATTTAATTGTAAATTGCTCGAGTCTGTCTGAAGATGTCTGTAAATGTTTGAACAAATTTTTCTGTGCAATAACATTGAGCCAACAAATATTAGCTAAATAAATAGGAAAATTATAAAAAATATAAGTAATTGCAATGCCAGATAAATAATTTTACACTTCTTTGATAAACCGAACTTTTCATAAATTCAAAATTTATAAATTAAATTAAAAGTTACAAGATTTGTAATCGTGATGTGTCATCAAATTAATTAAAAATCAGCACTAAGAATAAAACTTGACACACGAAATAGAAGGCTCTGATGCGATTTCAAAATCTGCGATAACAATTCCATGAATCACACAACAAGTTTTTATCGGGGAAGTAGGGGACTATATCGAAAATGAAATTCCTTGGATCTAAGTGATAAATTTGGGGATTGTAGCTTTCGTTCTTCTCGGTAACTTAACTAAACAAGTGAAGGACTGCATTAAAAACAAATAAAAGCGAATAAAATTCCCGGGCTTAGGAGAACGTGCACAGCAAAAACTACAGCTCTTATACTTTCGGAGACCTATCCACTTAGATAGACAGGCGGACATGTATGTCTTGCGAATACTGATCAATAATATACCTATAGACTCACTTGGGCGAGGTTTACTTTTCCCTGATTCGTCTGGAAATTATTTCAAATATTGTGCAAAGGTATAAGCTAGTTGTTACTCGAAGTCTTTCATGGTTTTACTTAATTGATACTTTTAAATAAGTATATATGTATTCATTTCAGTAGTATACAGTTTACACAGATTAGGAACTAATTTAAGGTTTTATGTCATAATTATTCAAAAATTTACATAATTATAACTCATTCTTGTAAAATATGGAAATGAGAGAGAATTTATATTCAGATTTCAAAAAACGTAACGTAACGTAATTGATCGCGACATGAACGACTTTGTAATACGATTTTTTTTATACTCTGTACATTAAATATACAAGAGTATATTATGTTTGCGGGAGCTGAAAATGTAACAGGCAGAAGGAGGCGTGGCAGACCCCACAAAGTATATATATTCTTGATCAGCATGACGAGACGAGTCGATCTAGCCCTGTCTGTCTATCCGTCTGTCCGTATGAACACCTGGATCTCAGAGACTATAAGAGGTAGAGACACCAAACTTTGCACAAAGATGCGTTATATGTGTACGCTGTGCAAGTTTGTTTTATTTTTTTTATTACCCCCCCCCCCCCCCCCCCCCCCCCACTTCCAACCTATGGGGGTTTTCCAGATTTTCCATTCGTATAATCGCCTATATCTCGGACACTATAAGACCTAGGGACACCAAATTGTAGTCCCAGATGCCTTATGTGAATACGCAGAAAATGTGCATTTTGGAATTAAACTCTCCCATGCAAATCGAGTTTTTGTTAGTTATTTTCCATAACTTCCGTAAATCATGAAATTTTTTAACCAAACTTGGCACATAATGGTTAGTGCATATGTGTCCGTATATTTCATGGTGATGTGTTAATTTAAAAGCATGTAATAGGCAAAAAATGTTTTGAAACATAAAAATTAGGATCACGAAACTTCACAAATTATTGCAAGCATTATGTATAATTATAGCCCTAATATTTGATATTTACAAGTAGTTGATCGTTTTCATATAAGTTTTAAGCTCGATTTATTCTCATTGACTATGCTCGTCCTGTACATAATTCTAGAAAATTAAGCTTGTCATAATTTGTGAGATTGATTGTTGCATCTATAATTCCAAATAGTTGAAAGCTTTTAAATATTTTCAACATCAATCTGGTATGCACAATAAAAGCTCGCCGACCGTTGATCTTTTTTGTATAGGTGTTCACTTTTTACTATTTATATAAACGTTTTATTTAAATAATTGTGTCAATGAACAGAAATGAATTACACACGTGCTGACCGCATTTTTAAGGTCCTTGTACCCGTTTCACCGACCCAAATCATTTTTTATACTCTACATCCAAAATGAAATAATTATGAAATCGCTCCGTTTTTGTACAATTCCCAACGAATTTAATTATGTAAGGCATGTCAAACCGTCTGTGGAAGCGCACAGCCTCGAAACTATACGACCTAAAGTTACCAAACTTAGCATACAAGATCTCCAAAATCGAAAAAGATTTTTTATAATTTATATTTTACATTTATAAATACGTTTTATTGTAAATCCTGTAATTATTGAGATTTTGATTTCACATTTTGCAATCAAATTGTGTTAAAGCGTAGATAGCTTAGTATCAAACGCCGGAAGTGTAATTGCTGCGCTCAAATTATAAAAATGCCAAATTAAAAGGCCAACTTAACCAAATTTTGAAAACACAGACCTAAGTATTACTTCAGGCTACAAAATATTTGAATTTAAAAGGCAGGTTCTGCGCCAAATTTTTGTTTGTGATGTTGCATCATTCAAACGACACGCATCCAGGAATAGGTACGATTAGAACAGACTTTTGTCATACATTTATCATACGTTATTTGGATATAGTGCTTTATCTATCTATTTCAAACTGCATTGAAATCGGTTCATCTTGGCAGCAGATAAAAATGTATATTTATTGTGAAAAAAAGAAACACGACCAGCTCTTGATTACTACATTACTATGTATTGGATAAGTCGAGGAGCGACCGACGCGTCGGTCGGGCTATTTGACCGAATGACCCTACGAACAGACTGAATGGCTTCATTGCATTCACGTTACTCATTGCATTGCATTCACGTTACTCATACGCCGGGTGAATCATACTCATGGTACGCACATACATATGTATGTATGTATTTATGTTTGTTCGAGTTTATTTACAACATGCGCACAATGTGGCATGTAAATTGCCTTCATTATTGTTTTTTCTGTTGCTGCCCTGCCGCTGTTGTTGTGGTTGTTCTTCCTACACATAATTCAACTCATTGTCATTAGCATCGAGCCCGAGGCTATTCTGTCCGCCATCAGTTTGTGGCAAACTTTTCACGCGTGCCCAGCGTCCCGGGCAGCAGAAAGATCAAAAACCAGAGACTACAATAATAACAGCAGGAACGGTAGAATCGGCAGAGTCGGCAGAATCGCCAGAATCGCAACAGTAGCATTAGCGCTATGGTATCAGAGCAGTCAATGGGTAATACAATGGCTTTTTGGTTTCCATTTTCCCCGTTTTTCTTGCTCATTCTTGAATATTTACCCACTTATAAAAATGCATAATTAAAAATGATTTAGCAGCAATACTCTGTATGTGCATGTGTGTGCGTGTCTGGCAGGTGTTGAGGTATGACGCATGCCCCAAAGAGCTCCCCCAGATGTCCGCAATGTCCGAGATGTCCAAATATTCGAGTGTCCGATTGTTTGTCTGCTCAGTTGGTTATCTCTGAGCGTCCATTTATTTGTTAGTCATCAAGAGAAAATCGCGTACACATACATACATACATACATACATACATATATAGTACGTATATGTGAGATATACTCTTGTACTTAAGTGCCTCAATTTAGGCGTTCAATATCGTTGAAAGAGGCCGATTTTTGTTAATTAGCCTATAATTCAATGGCCGCTTTGTCACATCGCATCAATTATAAATATTTAATGCTCTCATGCAAATAGCAACAAAAACCAACACCGTTCAAAATATTGTCGCTGCCTCGCCTTGCACATTTGCCTAGACATATTTTGCTGCACAATTAAATTGTTATAGTTTGTGGCAAGGGCTGGCCACACACCTCCTAAGAGGACAGCTCGCAGATGTGACAACAAAATAAACAAACCAAAGAACACGCTTCCCCCCTATTTTAAAAGAATACTTGTAGTCTTCTGGTATAGCAACGCGATTCGATCATCGAATTATTTACAAATTCCTATAAGGAATGAAATAGATATATTAACTGCTCTATTTATTTACTTACTTATATTTATGGCACATGGACTGTCGACATAGGAAAAGCATATATAAAAATTATAAAAAAAAAAACCCTATATTGTAGGAAAGCCTAACACAATTAATAAGTCAAAAATTGGTCGACCCGTGGTACAGACATTATGAACTATGTAGTTCTTCTTCCTATTGGCATGATGTTCGAAGAAGCCCTTGAAGCCAGGAATAAAGATTTCAGAGCAAAGCCATTTGTCCATAACCATAAGTCCTTACGGATGTAACACGATAGAACATGTCATGATTGGTTTATAACATCTTCGTCAAAAACATCAAAAATTTCCAAAAATATGTTAAGATAGATAAAGTTCTTGCTTAGATGCATGCTAATTTTAAAATACTTGGAACTATTCAGATTCATCGGATTCTGATTAATTTGTTAGTTATTAGCACATGTTAATCTTTTTTGGGCTTCATATACTAAAAATAACAAACTTGGAAATTTTAAATAATAGGAATTTAAAAATGCTATGAGATATTGTTGACCTACAAAATTGAAATTTAGAGAATCAGTGGTGAGTGCGCTAAAAACTTGAAGTTCAAATTTTCATTACAATATCTCGAGTTGTTCATCAAATTCTGCTTGCAGAGCTGCTTGGCCCACTGTGCGGTGGGGGAATATTATTTGCCTTTCGGCTAGCTATGCCCCGTTTCACAGCCAAGTGTGGTCAGAGGCGTCAATAGATCTACCAAAATAAAAAGAAAAACTTAAGAGAGACAAGCTTAAAAGCCAGTTAAAAATGGGAACAAACAGAAGAGAGAAAAAAATTAAATCTTAGGCCTGGTGGGGAAAGATTTATTAGCCAGTCCGGAAATCTGTATGGAAATTACGTTCAAGGATCACACTGACCTGCTGATAAACTTACCACATACTACTATACTTGTATATTCTGTTCTATTGGGCGATCATCTAAATGCAATTGCTTGCATTGTAATATTTGT